CAGCATGTTTTGCTTTGCAATTTAATATATTATAACCTAAATTAATCAGTAACCAAGTATTTTACTCAAACTCAATGTATTTAATAGTTAAATAAGTACTTTAATTGACCTGGTTCCCCCCAACCACACATTTGCCATATGTGACCCGCTCTATCGAAATCAGTCGGAAGTCGCAATGGCTCATTGCAAAATAAACGTTGATTTGCGTAACAAACTAGTTTTTCCGGATTCGGGTGTTTTGTTTGATTTTAAATAAACAAAGTATTGGCTTTCAGAATATGGAACTTTTATTTCCAAAATCACACGATAAATACATGTTTGAAGCTTGTAAAGGGAAGATGACAGCTCTCCCTCGCCACTCTGCTCTTCCACAGCGCCGCTTCCCTTCCCTCCGCTGACATTATGAATGTAAGCGGATATGTCTGGACAGAATTTATTTTACCGGACAAATTTTAAACTTACCGTCATGTTTCAATAATAATAAGAATTGTGTAGCAAAGTTTCCGTTAGCAGGTAATCACCGGACTAGGACAGGATATTGATGTTTAAAACTCAGTTAATGGGAGTAATTTTTATATTGCTTCAGTTTATAATCGTTACAGATTAACCGCCGAATCAGATTCATTTTTCAATAAATGATTCCACAAACAACAAACAACATAATTATTACATTCAAACAAACTACTTGTAGTAGATGAAGTACATTATTCAAAAGTTTACATTAACTTTGGATAATAACATGGGAGAAACGGATCCTCTCTTTTCCTCTGTCCCTCCCTCTCTCTCCTGACAGCCCGTCAGTTTCTCATGCAGCGCGCTAAACAGTGGGCGGGGCTTCAGGTGATTATGCAGCAGCTGATCTGATCTCTCTCTCGGGTCCGGTTATACTTCACTCGTGTTTATGTCCATATCGATCAGATCCAGCTCTCCTGATCGGCCTTTATAGAGAGCACCGATCAAACTATTAAGAGTGAATATCGGCTGATAATGACCGGCGGCCGATCGATCGGAGCATCCCTAATTTTGACCAGCAGGTTTTGAATTTACCGGTTTTTAATGAATTTTACCAGATAAAAACCGGTAAATACTGGCTAACGGAAACCCTGATGTGCGACTCTTTGGTCCTATGTTGTAAAAAAAAAATTCAAAAAAAAAATTCAAAAATAATATTTTATTTTTGATTCTCAAAATTACGGGCCAAATATTATTGCTGGCGGGCCAACAGTGGCCGCCTGTTGCCGACCCATGCTATAAAGCAGGGGTGGCCAACCAGTCAGAGGTTAAGAGCCACATTTTTTCTATGTTACTGCAAAGAGCCACATCAAACACACAGTCACTGATACCGCTTGTTTCAGTTTTTTGTTTTCTGGAGACAAGATTTCAACCACGTCACTGATGCATTTTTGTGGCATTGGGATATATTTTTTTTAAATCCTCTGGAGCAGAGAGAGGAGCTGTGGATTATTGTTATTGATTAATGCATCAGTGTTTCTTAGGGTCAAAAACACTAAACTCACAACTTCAAATGAAAGCGTTTAGTTTATGTAATAAAAGAGCACATGTTCAATGTGAAAAGTGACAGTAGTTATAGATTATTTGCAATTTGGTGCGATATATATATTTAAAAAAAAATTATATATATTTTTTAAACACCTTGAATTTCAGAAGGGGGCGCGGGGCTCCGTTGGCGGGGTGCAGCGCCCTTCCAAGACAATGGTAGGGGAAACACTGGATAGTAGTGTTTAATCAACGATAGGTTTTCCCCCCCTCAAAAAGTGATTGGTTCACTGCATCGCAGGTATTATTGTGATTGGCTCTTGGGCCACATCAAAATTAGACGCGCTGTCATCCTCTCATACTGACACCTGACACCACACATACACACGTAGGGAGAGCCGGGACGAAAGTAACACGGGACGAAAGTAACACGGAACGAAAGTAACGGAGCAATTTTATCCGAGCCCAAACAACTTTGACCGGCCAAATTACGTCAGAATTATCAGCATTCAATACTTAACAGACCTACTAAATATCAGGTTTAACTGTCGTGTTGTCACGATACCAACATTTTGGTTTCGATACCAAGTCAAGAATTGCGATTCCGATTATTTTTCGATACTTTTCTTAAAAAAGGGAAACAGTCTTAAATGTAATTATTGTGCTTTATTTCACACCAGAACCATAACCATAACACAACCTTTAAACAATGAGAACAATAAATACAATAAATGACAAGAATTCGTATTAAATACAATTAATACATTTCTTACAGACAGGCCTCGTGGTGTCCGTAGGCTTGCCCTCACTGTCAGAGATATAGCTAAAATACTTCCACATTTCGCTTCTGGCGTCTTTTTTGTCAACAAGCCGAGGGGCAGCGGCAGTTGCACTCCCACTTGCAGCCATGCTTCTCGTTTTCTCACATGCTCTGGCAGCTAGCGCGTGCACGAGAGCGGGGAGGCACTTGAGCGTGCTTTAGAGGGGCGGGACTGCAGGCACGGCTGCAGAGCAGGGAGTGGAAGCAGAGCGCTGAACACACACGGCTCTTATTTAAACGGCGCTTTCTCACCGGAGTACTTTCCGCCGTCATTCTTAAACGGAGGAATCGTAACGTTTTTAACGGCAGGGTATCGCGGTATACCTTTCAAGTATCGGTACACCGTGCACCACTAGTCAGGAGTCAGTGTCTCTCCCCCAAACTCACACATATAAAATTCAATATGAACTGAAGAGCCGCATGAAACTAGGCAAAGAGCCGCATGCGGCTCGAGAGCCGCAGGTTGGCCACCCCTGCTATAAAGGAACTACAGCAGGGTCGCTGCTTCAACGTCACGCCAATTTAAGATCCATATTCAAACATACAGATTGTAAATGGTACAAGTTGAAGTGTTTGTTTGAACAGTTTGCAGGAGGCAGGGACTTGCTTTCAAGCAGAACAGGGCAAACAAACTTAGCGGGAGTGTTTTACGTGTTCGGTGTAATGACGTAAAACAGCCTGGACAACTTCTGTAGTCCTATTCAGCCACTTGGTAACAATCATCGTTTTTCAGACACGTAAACTCTTCAAAAATCACCAGAGGGGTCACTACTGATGGATTTAATGTCGTAGAACAAAACGTGATCTGTCTCTTCAATTTGTGTCAAACACAGACCTTATTTGGAGCTATTTTCCAAAATCCTATGGAGAAATTGCATTGCTTTTTATCGAAGGAACCGGAAGTGGTAAAAATGCTAACTTACTTCCGGGTTTTAGGACGCGTCACTGCGGTTCTATATTAGGGGCAGGTGGGGCACAGCCCCACCAGAAAGTATTAAAAATAATGATTACAACAAAATGCAAAAAATTAATTAAAATATATTTTAAAATCATGTTTAATCATCTGATTCGTCTGTACATTGCTGTTTTAGTATGTGTTCTTCTAATTAGTGTCTACAGTGTGTGCCTATTGAGCTGTTTAGAGCCATGTGGGACAAAACCCGATCCTGCCCCTCCCTCTCACTGTCTAAGTGAACGGTGACTGTAAAAACTACACTGCGCATGCTCAGAGTATTTTCCTATTTAATGTGTGTGGCAAAAAATAATGACCATAGGGGCATAGAGCTGCCATCCCCACCATACGTCATCTCACATAATTCAGAGCTGATTGGCTGTAAGTACGTGTGCCGCGAAAAGTGTGGTGTGTGAAGAGCAGGTGAAGAAGAGGAGAGAGACGCGTCCTAAAACCAGGAAGTAAGCTGCGCATGGCTTCCCTCCACAAAAAAGCAATGAGATTTCTCCATAGGATTTTAGAAAATAGCTCAAAATAAGATCTGTGGGAAACGTAGCTGTTAGATAAATGTACGTTTTGTTCAGCCGGATAATATCCACATCTCTACCCTACTTTTATAATTTTCGAATCATAAATCCATCATTTAGATTTATGATAGACTTTTGAAACTACAAGAAGATAAGGAGGACTTTTACAAAAAAGTAATAGAGATTTTTGTCCAGAAGGATAGGCAAATGGACTTCATCTTCAAGTCAAGGTAAGACCACCATTTTATTGAAAATGGGATCTTACTAAGAGAGAAGAATTCAATATTTAAATGATATATTTTTTTTAATTACATTTTTTGGGTATCCTTCTGTTGAACTGTCTGTTTAAAATTAATTGAAGCATCAGACTAAAGAGGCTTTTGAAAATAATATGATATTTTGATTTAGGTCAAAATATAATATTTGTAAACCTGAAGAGTCAGTGCCAGTGCCTCACCAGCCATGAACCTCACTGCAGAAGCTTATATATAGACATCTAAGTTGTTTGTGCCCCACCACTTTTGTACATATAGAAAAGTATTAGCATCATAATATACTTTAAGTACCAAAAGTACAAATACTCATTCTGCAATTTGGTTCATTTCTGAATTAGATATATTATATGTTTTGATTTGAATGATTGATCATTAAAGTGTTATCAAAGCTGGTAAAGGTGCAGCTAATTTTAATGACTTTGTATACTGCAGGGTAGCTTGTACATTTTGTCCAGGAGTCACTTAAGTCTTATTTAAGTGTTGATTATATTTGTTCAGTTTAATTTTGAAAGTCAAGATTACTCTTCAAAGTCTCATGTTTTTTATTTGCACAATGAATTAGTTGTTTGTTCTCAGACTCCCTGCAACAAAGCTCCTACAATATGAATAAAAAAACACAAACGTAAACATTTTAATCTACTAATATTACAATTATGGAATTAATTACAAATGTATAAAATGTAATAAATATAGTACAATAAAAAAAAACAATTGAAGTGATGCACATGATAGTCTCCTGTACAGTATATGTGTTGAACTTTGTCCATCCAGTATTCAGTTTGCATGCATGCTTTAAATGTATAATTCTTAAGGCCTTTGCTTACAGCTGAATTTTGCTCCTCCAGTGAAACCCTTATGTTTCCATGATTTACAGTTTCACTGTATTAAACATTTGTTCTCACTCGTGCTGTTTCTTTGTTTTTCTCCAGTTGTTTTCCTCTGCACTCTTTTGTCGCAACACTCCGCAGTTCGACGATCTGTTTGGTTTCTCTGTGGATGATGTGTTCATCGAGGTGAAACGAGGACGACAACTGGTAAAGATTCTTGATTGTTTTCTGTCATGAATTGGCCTAATCCAATGTTTGTGTGTTTAGTTGTTTAACGGTCCCCTATCATACTGTTTTTCATCAATTTATTATAGGTCTCAGATATATACAAAACATGTCTCTGAAGTGTTTGGCTCCAAACACCAAACAGATCATTGCAGCATCCCATAATCCCCTCTGTTTCAGCCCTGTTTCCAAAGTGCTGATTCTCTGTCTGTTACTTTAGATCAGGGGTGCCCACACTTTTTGACCAGCTCACCGAGGTCTACCAACCAAAAATAAAATCCCAAATTGCAAGGGTTGCTGAATAACACGTTTTATTTATACATGGGACAACTAGGCTGCAACAAACGACTAATTTGATAATCGATTAATCTATCGATTAATGAACGATTAAGCGACTATTCGGACAATTATGCCTTGCACAATTTCTCAAACCCTCTTATTTAGCCATCAACTTTTAGATTTAGCTTGAGGTTGTTTTAGGCATGTGGAAACTAGCAATGAAGACAATAAAGATGAATACTTGATTCAAAAATACATATATTATTAAATTAACTAAACAAATTCTGAACAAAATGAACATTGCTTTTTATTAATTAAATAAATAATATTTCACATCAAAAGAAACAACAATGTTTTAACAAATCGTATTAAATAATCTGATGACAGAACTGTTAACAGAATAGCTGAAACTTTAACAAACTAAATAACTCAGTTACCTCTAATCATTAACCCATGTTTGTATAATTTTGTTAACTGCGTGTGTTGCTGCTAGCATACATAACACCTGACGTGGAAACGTTACTCGTGGATGGGGCTACAGAGCTACTAGAAAGACGGTCGAACCCGGTGCATTCCTCCGTCTGAATGTGGTGCACTTTTGCTAAATGTTTGACACATTGCTCGTGTTACCGCCCTTACATGCTAAACTCTCTTGGCAAGGAGCATTGTCCACCTCAAGACGGGTAACATTTAACCACACCTTGGAGCGCTTCTCTCCGCCATCCCCGCCGTGTGTTGCTGCTTGTAGCAGCTGCGTGTGTGTAAACTGCCCCGCCCCCTCGCACACAGACGGGGGAGAGAGATCTCGTCTCGATTGGAAAGATCAAAAATACACCATAGACGCATTTGTATGTCTTTTTGCATGTTAGAAACGAGTTAGCGACACTAAGACTGCGAAATAATGTTTGTGTAGCAATAATACATGACCTTTCTCAACTCGCTACTCGGAGGGAAGTCGCTGTCATATGCCTTGTGAACACTCCGATAATGCCTCTCCACGTTACCTTTCTTTGGCAGAGCGACGCTTGCTTTACAAATAACTAAGGCAAATAACCTTTGAATGTGACATCACAAAAAAATATTCTTCCTCCCATTCTGGATGGAAGTGGTTTGTCTTTAGCTTTTTGCTCGGTCCCGCACTCATTTTGTTGTTTGTCTCTTGTTTGTCTCTTTACCTTAATTTGAGTTTTCCCGGCACTTGACTGATTTTGCTGAATCGCTTTGCATTCTGGGTTAACAGACTGGAAAGCGATAGGTCGCTTTTTCTGTCAAGTAAACTCTGAATTAAGTGGCAGGGAGGCCAAGGGAGGAGGGATCAATCTATTTTAACGGAGCTGGATTTTTTTTTTATGAATGAATCGCGATCTACCAGCATTGCCCCCGCGGTCGACCGCGGGGGCAATGCTGGTAGACGTACTGGGCACCTCTGCTTTAGATGAAAATAAGGAGCCCCTCCCCACGCCCCTCTGAGAGATATTTGGTTAAAAAGAACACAATGGTGCTCTAGGAGGAGATTCAGGTGATAAGGTGGGGGGGGGGGTTACCTTGGTTGCTGATTGGCTAATGGTTACACAAGCCAAAACATCGTTATGACATCATGAAGTGGCCAAAATCTGATCAGCTCATTTTCAGACAGGTTGTTATATAAATGGATCAGGACAAAAAGAGAGTGAATCTTTCTTCCTGAAACTTTCAGAATCTCTTTACGCAGAGGGGACACGTGTTGATGTATAAAAGACATGAAAAAGTGGATTTTGCATAATAGGTGACCTTTAACTCATTTGTTTATGTAAGATCTGTAACAAATGTAAGAAGAGGGGAGCCACGGTTGGGTGTGAAGTCAGACGCTGCAAGAAGTCCTACCACTACCCGTGTGCTGTGGAAGAAAGAGCCAAGATCGTTGAGGATGTAACCAAGGAGGAATATGTGTAAGTCCAATATCAACGTTTTCTGTGTGTCTGGGTTATAAATGACCCTGTCCTGCAGTATGAACAAAGTTAAATGTAAATTGGTTTTGATGTAAAACAACTTTGTGTTCTGCTTCAGGCTGTACTGCTACAAACACTATCCAAAAACAGAAGGTAGGTGTGGCTTTTTTTTACCTTCTTCCTGTCAAAACATATTTTCAGTTTATGACATATTATGTGTTAAAAATGTATTTTCCGATTCCAGAAAACAACCCCTCCGAAAATGGATCTCTCGCTTTAGGCTCAAAGTCCAGAGCTTACAGAAATCCTGAAGAAGCTAGAACATCTAAGGTTTGATTTATGAAACTGTCTTCTACCTAAATGTATAGCAAACCACTCAAAACTGCGCATGTCTTTAATAAATAATTACCTTAAAGAGTTGGGCTCTGTAGATTTAAACAAATGCCACTTAAAATAAAATAAACTGTTCCTGATGCAGTTATTTTGTTCAAATGTCTGTATTAATGGCTGTAAGGGCGATGATATTTATCAACACACATTTGTTTTCACAGGTTTATTGCCTTACCTGTGAGAAGTCAGAAGGAAACATCAGCTTGGAAAGTTTGTCTTATAGCGTTGTTATGTAAGTATGTTCACATTTTGCAAAGCTCTTTCTTTATAAGGCTAAAACTAAACCTTTTTATGCTCTGAACATTGATATCTGATCCCTTTCTAACATCCACTCGTGTGTTTTTAGGTCATATTGTGACAAACATGCTCCTGGTTCACACAAGAAGAATGCCAGTGGTATGTCGTGCTCACAGCAACTCTGTCTTGTGTTTTAAATCGTTGTATTCCTAATGTTACAGATAAAGTGATTATTCTTCTCGACAGGTGACTCTACTAACCAGCGGCCGACTGTGTACAGCAGTGACTCAAACTCATCCAGCAGTAGGAAGCCTTCATCTATCAAGGTACACATACTGTTCACGATCACATAAATACAGCTTTTTAATACTTTAATCTCACCATGTTATGGTGATTTTAATCATTCTGATTTTGCTTTTGAAACAGAGACAGTTGAGTTTCAGAGACAAGTAAGTGTGTGATTATTTTCATGCTTGCTTTGCTGTTTTTCCTTAAAAGTCTTGAAAAAATCTTGTAAAGTTGGTTTTATATCAACACTTATTATTTGTATTTTAAAATCTATTATATAGCTCCTTCCGGTCACAATTACGAAACACTTCTTGCAAAATAAAGCTTTATGAGAGGTGTGTAGGATCAAAAACTCGATCCTGCCCACTCGTCCTCACTGTGGGTTCAAATACTTTTATCAGGCAAAGTAAATATATATATAACCATGACCATGCGTATAGCGACAGCAGGAAGAACAAAGTTGTTGAGAGGCTGAGGCCGGGCCAGTTTGCTATTGTATGACACACTATCAAAAAAGTACTTGCTGAGATCAAGATTGAAGTGAATGTAGTTTAATGAAAAATGAGATGATCAACTTATTTTACATAGACATAGACATTGTAATAATGATCAAAGCAATCCTAAAGCTTGCGACCAACAAAAAATACAACGACCCTGTGTCATCCTCTCTTCCACACACACCTCACGCAGTTGAACAGGATTATAATTCCCATGAGTGGCGCCCATATCCATGTGACCCAAACCAACCAACCCAGTACAAAACTAATTTGTATTCAAACAAAAGGCATTACTTTATACGTTTCATGGCTCCTACAATGCTATAAAGGCTAAAAGACTTCCCAGGGGAAAATCCACCAATCAGAGTATGACAGTAACATGCATTACATTTAACAGGGATGCAAACTTGTCACCTTTCGGCGAAATTCGCCGTTTTGAATCCAAAATAGGTCGTGTGTGTGATTCATGTAGATCTGCAATAAAAATATTTTTGGGGTATCATACCCCAAAAATATTTTTATGGGATTTACTCCGGGTCTGGGATCCGGACTAATCTGCGGCCGCGATGATGGTCTAGCTTCAGCAGCTACATTACCTACGGGTGCGTCCGTTAATATTAACTGTGCGGTCCGGAGTCACTGTGGCACAGACTGGACCGCTGGTGAACAGCTGTTAAAACGGGCCGTTCAGGTGTTCAGAGCAGAGCTCCCTGTCGGAGCGGCAGAGCATGATGTGCACTGAAAAGTGTTTCTGTCGCAATATTATCGTTGAGCTGGCTAACTAGCATACATTGGGCCCGTCTCACTTCTCTTATTTTTCATTTCCTCGCTCCTCGGTCTCGGTCTCACCGGAAGTTGATTTGTCTGCGCCATCTTGAATAGCGTCCCAGTGGCCTTATTTTTGCCGGAGGATCGAGGAGCGATAATGGAGGAGCTATAACCGAGGAACCACCAGACCATCCTCCGATGAAATCCTCAGATACTCGCGCCGCCCCCTTACTGTGTATCACTCACTGATTGGACGATATTATTATTATAAAGCCGATATTCCGTGGGGTTGGGGGGGCTCGGATCCTTGTCACCTTTTTCATACCTGATGAGTTTGCATCCCTGATTTAAGGTTTAACATTAAGTAAGAACTTATTTATGTTACAAACAGCGTCATATTTGACAAAATATAGAAACATCCACTAACGGTTATATAAAATCAAACAGGTCTAATAATCACAATAAACCAAATTAATGAAATACTGTATATGCGGTGTTAAAGGGGACCTGTGGGAAATTCAAGACTCAAATCCCGTTCCTGTCTACATAAAGGCTCATAGCTGACAATGACAAACAGTGCAAAAAGCATACTTTGAATGCACTTTATATAAAAAAAGGAAAAAGATCACCTTTAATGCACCGAGCCATCAACACCAAGACTAACATCAGCGACTTGTTCTGTATCTATCGTGTATTTATGAAGCTTAAGTTGATATTAGATGTGAACTTACTTAAGACCAGAATACTGTGGTGTTTAGGTTTCAGGTTTTTGTCAATTACTGATTTAGGGTGGACAAAATCACCGTGCTACCAAACAAACATAAACTACCAAACTTAATATCAGATGTTCACTAGTTAATTCTGCTCTATTCTCTAAGTACTTTAAACTGCAAAAAAAAAAAAGAATTAATAAACTCAATTTACCTATAATATGTATTACTCTGTGAAAAAAACTAATTCAACTCTTTTAAAATAAAGAAAAATGATCTTCAAAATAATATTAGATAACATGGGGTTTTGTCTACCTTTGGCTGATGAAGGTCTGAGGGACACAGTGTGAAATATGTTCATGTTTAAATTCACTTCTTTTTATTTTGACTTAAAATCAAGCAACTTGTTTATCCGTACACTTTACAGTGACAGTGTTAATAATAACTGACTCTCTCCTCACAGACAGAACGGGACCCCTTCTAAACGTAGTTCTAAAGTCTCATGGGCTTCACTGCGGGATGATTCTTCAAATTCAGGTTAACACACTTACAACGCATGAGAGAAAATAACCTATTGAACACTGAACAAAGGTTTAATGTGTTTTCCCTTCTCTTACAGGCAATAATGAACCGGATTCAATAACGGCCCCTTTAGATACTGATATAGATGATAGTGAACACCTGGTTGGTGAGCCTCTCGTAAGTCTCTTTTTTGATTCGGTAACAGAAACATCATCAATAGTGGTTGAAGAAGATCAATAATCTCATATTTATGTTCCTTCTCTTTCATTTATTCACCCTGTTGGCTGTCAGACGAGGTAGGCTCAAGTCTCTGTGATTCACTGAAAATAACTTTATTTCATTTTATGATATTTACAATGTGAAATGTACAACCATTTTTGCATTGTGCTGTGCATTGTGGGAACTTGTTGAAGCTACTGTTTTATTTGTATTATTAGGGAGACTCATTTCTGTCTGGAGGAAGAGAGCAGAGATGAAGATGAAACGGTGGGTTACGTATTGTAACCCTAGTTATATAAGCACGGACAGAGCCCTCTACTCGGGGCCCTGTCTGTCCTATGTCCTATGGGGGGTCAGATACCTGCTGACCCACAGTCCCCCCCCCTCACCAGCCCTGTGTTGCCTCAGCAAGCACAGATGATGAGAAGGAGCCAGACATGTCCAAGAGATAAAACCTTATGAAGGGGCCTGGCATGGACCAAGACGCCGCCGCATATATGTCCTCCACACTCACTCCGTTAAATAAGGCTGTTGACACAGCCATACCCCGTGTAGAGTGTGCACGGAAGGCTCTCTCCACCTGTCCGTAGGCATGTGAGATGCACTCGCAGAGCCATCCCCCAAAGCACACAAACAGTTGTTCAGTGCGCCTAGTGGCAGCCGTGCGCTCCACATAACATGCAAGCGCACGCACCGAGCAGAGGAGGTGCAATTTAGCCTCCCTGGTCCCACTATGGGGCGGAAGATTAAAGCCCCCTAACTGAATAGCCCTTGACCTGAATGAGCTCCTTAGATTCTTGGGAACAAAGGAGGGGTTCGGTCTGAGTATCGCCCTGCTACGGTCACCCCGGATCACTAAGCACCGACAGCGGTCAGCTCGTACACTCTCTTGGCCGAAGTTAAGGCAAGAAGCAATGCTGTCTTCCATGACAGTGCTTTCAGGGAGGAGAGCTCCAGAGGCTCAAATGGTTCTGTGGCCAAAGCCTCGAGCACCAACGGCAGGTCCCACTGCGGGGCGGAGGCGTGCACTACTGGGCGCCGCCTCCTGACCCCCTGCAAAAACCGCGACATAAGCGGCTGACTGAAGGCTGACCTGCCGCCAAATCCCTCATGGCAGGACGAGATGGCTGCTGCATACACTTTAATTGTGGAATGAGCAAGCCCCCTGTCCACCAGTATCTGTAAGTAGGTAAGAATAGAGCCCAACGTTCACGATAGGGGCTCTAGACTCCCCTCTTCACACCATCGCTGGAATGCCAACCACTTTGGCCTGTAACAGGCTGTGGTGGATCCTGCTCTCGCTGCCTGGATAGTCTGAATAACCTTGTCAGACAGTCCCCCCTGTCTCAGCCTGTCCCTCTCAGGAGCCAAGCCTGGAGAGGTTGGCCCAGAGTGGGTAACGCCCCTATTGCCCCTGCCGCCTGAGAGATCGCCCCCCAGAACTGAGGAATCGCCCAGGGCGGGCCCACCATCATCTGTGTCACCTCTGCGAACCACGGCGCCAAGCGGCGATCTGGGGGCACTAGGATGACTGACAGATGCTCTCGTCTCACCCTCTCCAGGAGGGGGAGAATGAGAATGAAGCAAGGATGCCTGTCTGCTCTCTGACAGGGTGGCACGTAGTCTGCCTGCATCGAGCAACATCCCATCATACTGCACCTGCTGGTGAGGTATGGGGGAGCTCTTCTTCCAATTGAATGCAAAACCCAACTTGGTTAGGTGTAGGAACATTCCCCATTCCCTAGACCTGGCCATGACTATGAGGTCGTCTAGATAAAAGAACACCCTCATGCCACGGTCGCGCAGCGGCTGAAGCGCTGTGGCCACACATTTGCTGAACGTACCTGGGGATAGGGAGTAGCCGAACAGTAGTCTGTGGTACTCGTAGGCTACACCCTGGAAGGCAAAACGCAAATACTCTCTGTGCTTTGGAGCAATTTTGACATAAAAGTAAGCGTCCTTCAGGTCGATGGTTGTGAACCTATCGCCTGGCTGCACCAGTCCCAACAACTGTTTTACAGTTAACATATGGAATTTTCTGCGTACAATGTGGAGGATAACAGGTAGGCCCGTCCCAGGGGGGCGGCTACGGTTATAGATATTTCAGTTGATGAATGCTCGCATAGTATGGTTGAGAGGTAGTACCCATAGAGTTCAGTAGAGAGCGGAGCCTGTGTGAGATATAACAATTGATTCAGTGAGTCATTACATATTAGATCAAAGTCTAAGCTACATTTCTCCTTTTAGCAACATTTCATAAACTCTATTTATCATGTTCTCAATCTCATTCAGTCCTGTAGTAGAATTGGTGATGTTAACTTTTCTTAAAAGTCCCCTATTATACTGTTTTTCATCAATATATTATAGGTCTCAGATACAAAACATGTCTCTGAAGTGTTTGGCTCCAAACACCAAACAGGTCATTGCAGCATCCCATAATCCACTCTGTTTCAGCCCTGTTTCCAAAGTGCTGATTCTCTGTCTGTTACTTTAGATGAAAATAAGGAGCCCCTCCCCACGCCCCTCTGAGAGATATTTGGTTAAAAAGAACACAATGGTGCTCTAGGAGGAGATTCAGGTGATAAGGGGGGGGGGGGGTTACCTTGGTTGGTGATTGGCTAATGGTTACACAAGCCAAAAAATCGTTATGAAATCCTAAAGTGGCCAAAATCTGATCAGCTCATTTTCAGACAGGTTTTTATAGAAATGGATCAGGACAAAAAGTAAGAGCATTTTTCTTCCTGAAACTTTCAGAGTCTCTTTACACAGAGGGGACACATGTTGATGTATAAAAGACATGAACAAGTGGATTTTGCATAATAGGTGACCTTTAAAGAGAATTTGATATTTAATCCCAGAACCTATATCCTTTTTTAAATATTGGATCCATAAATGGTATATTGAGGGTTCTTCATCTGACATGATTTGGGTTTGCTCCTGTCAGGAGGCTGAGTCAGAGAGTCTGCTGCCTCCTTTCTCTCAGCCACTTCCTGCCTCTCAGGCTGACTTCCCCACTCAGACGCCTCCGATGTCTCCGGTGTTCCCTCCCAGTGAAGTTTGGTGTAAGACGGAGAGACAGACACAGGCAGACGATGGAGGTACATTTTCACACCACGATGAGATGAACTTAGTGTTAGGTAATTTTACATTTGAAAATACAGTCAAATTCACTATATTAACATATACCAGAATAAAGTCTTAACATTCATTGAGTTTATAAAGTGAGCAAGTAAGCAAGAAATGGGGCGAAGCCTGCGAGCTAGTTCAGGCAGTCAACTCGAGCACCAATGATACATTAACACGTGACGCACCTTGTCCCTCTTACAACAACCAAACACATTCTTCTAAACATGCCGCTCTATTTAAGCCGCTTGGTCTTCCTGCCTCGCTATGCTGCTGCTGCCACTGCTGTGTTCACTTGCTAATGTATGGGCATAGATATGTCTCATAATTATTTGTGTGAACATAAAAATAATTTGTGTGTAAATATGTGATTTGTAAATGTAAAACACCATCCACAAATGCATTTAAAAGATTTGCAAACTCACAAATACATTTGCAAGTGTAAAACGGATCTGCAAATACGCAAAATATTTTCACAAATAAAAAAAAGATCTGTGAATATCTCTTTAACATATTAAAGGATCCGAAAGTGGCGTATAGCCTGTACTTCAACATCAACGAAAGTGCTCGATATATGCTGTATTGAACCAAACTAACACAACTAACACAAACTAACTGTATCACTATAACATGATAATGATGATGATGATGGTGATAAAGAATGCATCTAATGTTCCGCTGCTCATTATAATAAAAAAACAGAGCATTAAACAAACCATCATGCTCTTACTTTGAAACCATGCGGAAATGTCGTCATCAGCAGGCCATCACATGGTTTCCGAAAATAACCGAGTGACACGAGTAGATTTTAGCCGAGACCGGCGGAAAATATGTCTCAAAATTCCGTGTGTGTAAAAAGACGATCCGCGAACAGAGATTTGAGATCCGCAAGCGCATTTTTGGTCGACAAATACAAAATGGATTCACAAATGCCTGATCGAAAGTTGTAAATGTTAGAGATATTCACAGATCTTTTTTTTATTTGTGAACATATTTAGCGTATTTGCAGATCCGTTTTACACTTGCAAATGTATTTGAGTTTGCAAATCTTTTAAATGCATTTGTGGATGGTGTTTTACATTTACAAATCACATATTTACACACACATTATTTGTATGTTCACACAAATAATTATGAGACATATCTATGCCCATACTATTGCTACGTTCATGTTCCTGCTGCTGTGTTTCATGTTGCTGCTACTCGCCTGCCCCCCCACCACCTCAGCTTCCACCTGTAGGCTCGGGGATAGTTATCTAATCATCACTCAATGTTCTTTGTAAATCTGTGGAGTGATGAGGCCCGAGCCTAGACGCCAAACTCAAACTATATGCTGCTTCTAATAAACATATTAAGAAACACGTGAGTTGTCTGAAATACATCTGAGGACTTTTAACAACATTACATAAAGCACTTAATTATTTGCTCTGGAGCACTGTTACTTGCTGACATGAGACCAGGTTCTTCTTCTATGCTTAATGCTGCCTAAGTTAAGACACTTTGGCCTGAATTAATGGAGCTTAATTATTAATTTGGCTAGGATTTTTGTAGTACAGTTTTTTAAAATATTGTTCACATCCCTACAAGATTAAAAACACTAGCCAGGGGCCGCCAGATAGATCAGTGGTTAGTGCTGGTGCCCGTTATGCGTAAACTGCTGCCTAGTAAGCCGGCCTAACATTCAGGCAATGTCTTCCCCTCCATCTCCCCCTTTCAACTCTATATAACCTCTAATAGAGCCCTCTATGGCCCCAAAAAAAAACTTTAAATAAAACACTAACCAGTTCAGTTAATGTGCAAAAGAACTAATCGTGAACCAAGTGGTGCATTTGTCCATTTAGACCTTTTTCCACTTACAAATGAAATGCATATTTTGCAGCAAAAATCTTTAATATTAGAATATTGTGTATAATTACCTGCATAAAATGTTTGCAAAGAAAGTTGGCCAGAATAGCATCCCAGAATATGGCAGTTCACACTTTTGTTAACACTTGCATTGAATGTCGAATTATTATTATTATTATTATTTCTTGTGTGATAAATGTCAAAGTGCAGAAAGAGTCAATGAGACTTTTTTTTTGGTTAATACTATGTGTAAAACAGTATAGGACATGTCTAGTGACCGGAGGAAGGTGCTGTTTTTGCAGGAAGCCTGCACATGAATAAGGAACTGGAGTTGTGTTGCTGTGTAATGTGTGCTGTCAGTCCTGAGGAGAGTCCTGTCGACAGTCCATCTGATCCACACACCGCTGGACCCTCTCCCTCTGCTCTCACTGATGCTGGCAGCTCAGCCTGCGTGACCCTCCCCACTTCCTGTTCCCCTCCTGTGGCCCCTCCCTCTCCTGTGGCCCCTCCCCCTATGGATGCCCCTCCCCCTTGTGTGGCCCCTCCCCCAGACCCCTCCCCCAGCGGGGCCTCCAGACGGTTCTGGAGGAGCTGTAACGCTGCCGGCTGCACGCAGAACATCTTCAGAGGTTTCTATAAGGAGATAAGCGACGTCTCCGACAGGATTCAGGCAGAGCAGGCCAGCCAGGAGGGTGAGAGACACGGGACACTCTGCAGGTGTTGTTTATGTCTCAAACACTTTTATTAAGATCTCTCTCTTCTTCCTACAGATTATGATCTGGCGTTAACAGTGATGAGGGCTTCTGGGAAACTGTTAGAGCTTGTGGTCAATCAGCAGGAAGGTGAAGTACTAACCTTACTTAAATAATATACTATAACTTTTATGTGTATTTTTTTAACATTCTATACTTTTCTTCTGGTATTTTAGACATACACATATTACTTTTCTTTTTAGACAAACTTTATTTATGCTATACGTTTTTTCATACATTTTTAACATGCTATAATATGACATTCTTTTAAATACTACACTATAACTTTTTTTTCTACATACTTTACTTTTGCGTTTTTTTTTCATACTTTGACATTTTTTGGAAATAGTGTACTATGACTTTTTGTGCCTTTTTTCCTGATATTTCCCACATAGTATATTATAACATTTCCTTCAACATACCATACTATAACAATTTTTTTTATATTTTCGTCATTCCATGCTATGATTTCTTTTCACATTATACTACACTGGGCTTTTTTCCAACATACTGACCTCTAATTTCTTGTAGACAGGTGTGTGGGAGGAAATGAAGAGAGAATAAACGCACATGCTTATTTAGAAATAACTTAATTGAAAATATACTGTTTAGACCCTTAGACATCCCATAAAGCAGAGGGACAATAATCACAGTTATACCTCACCATGAGACGGACGTCAGTCATTCAGTCTGTAAGAAGGCACTTCCCAAGGACTTTCTGATGGCGTAGATCACCTTTTTCTGTGGCATAATATGAAAAGATTACATTTTTACATTTTTCCAGAGTTACAAGGGAAGCAAAGGGAGCTTCAGGAGGCAGCGGCAGCGATGGAGGAGGCCGTCTCAGCGCTGAGGAGAGATGAGGAGCAGCTGTCGTAGTCACACACACATCACAGTTAACCGTAGACAATGGTAAAGGGCTGGATGTGGAACTACAAAACTGCATCAATATAAGCATCGATAAATTCACAAAATAGTAACAAATTCGACCCAAATACATTTTTATTGAACCAAATAATGGGTTTCATTTTAAAACCTTTTATTAAAATGGAAAGAAAAATTATCTTAAAGAAGTTCCACATCCAACACGAGCAACTGACCCAAGTTTGCAAGAGTTTTGGAATTGTAAAAATAACTATTTTGCAAAGAAATGTGCATTTAAGTTTCATCCTTTTTATGACGTGAAGCCGACATATATTAGACATACGATATTATTCACATGTGTGCAATGTTTAAAATGTATATTATACCTTATGTGAATGTCCGAGGTTGTTGAATGTTAATAAGAAGTTGCTTCTCAAAAGGTACAAGAAGAAGAGAAGTAGTCCAAAGATGTTTTTTATATCACTCTATGTGTAAGTTTTGGAGTTTTTACCTCTAATAATGTCATTGCTGTGAAAAGGATGGATGCATTTATTTTAGATTAGATATTGTTCAAACTGGTACTCAAACGCAGAAGAGCTGAAATAGTTCTACAGTTAGAGGTTGAGTACTTGTGGAGTCAGACATGTTTACATTATTGATGTTCAATCAGTCGTCTTGTTCAGGGTTACATTCATCAACTGTTGCAGAGTAAAGCTGATCGTCTTCATGACACGTGTTGAGTATTTCCTTTTTAAACCCTTTGATAAAGTTTGCTCAAGTCAAACATTATAAGTTAAATAACTCATGACCCGAGTAGAGACGTGTCTTTCTGATATTAATCGACATACTACACCAAGACTTTTTCTGATCATATCATTCAACATACTAAACTATCATGTTTAAGAAAAAAAATATTTTTTACGTATTTTCTACATACTATACTATGAATTTCTTTTGACATCCTATATTATGATGGCAGTAATGAGGGCTTCTGGGAAACTTGAGGCCGGGCAGCAGGATGTAAACTCTTGTGTGGCAGGGAGGGAAGTGTTGGTTGCTACCTTGAGTGCACACTATATATATATTTATATATACAGTCTATGGTGCACACTTAATAAATGTAAAACAAATACAACATATTGATAACTTTTCAACATGTTTTTAATGATATTTTCAACATTAAGTAAATTGTTCCATTGTTAACTTTTCTTACAGTTATTGAATAAATATGGCCCTTTAGTTTAAAACAAAAAACTCACTGTACTGGATCTTTCTGTGAAGATAGTTGCATCTCTGGTTTGTCAATAATATAATAATAATAGATTTATTTTGTAAGCGCTTTTACAGGTGCTCAAAGCTAAAAAAAATTAGACCGTTTTTTTGTCATACATCATCCTCGAAATCAAGCAATAACGTTAGCAATGTTGACATGCAGCGGCAGCCGGAGGCTAACGATAGCTCACCTGCCTCACCACCATCAATAGGCGCATACACACCGCAGTACTTTCCCCACAAAGGTTCATGAGAACTCTTTAGTTCTCATGAACTAAGTAAAGATCGCGTTCACACCGGAATAAGTCCCTGGGGGAGGATTAGGCAAATGAAGCTGCTGGGAGAAGCTGCTGGGACTCCCAGCAGCTTCTACTGAAGCCTTCAGAGTAAATCGCCAGAACGTCGACACCTACTCATCTCCACCGCTCCCATGTTTTATTTTGTGTTGCCATAAGTTAGTCTCTCTGCGTTTCTGCGCTGGGCTAATGCTAATGATAATAATGCTAATGCGAGGATAATAAAATGACGGCTTCACAAACTTTTTGGGGAGTTTTACGGGGCGTGGTTTGCAATCCGCCCAGCCAATCAGAAATAGGAACCTTTTTCTCCCACGAAAGTCCCTGCTCTCTAGCAGGGACGGAAAAGGGGGTGAAAAGGTTCTCATGAACTAATTTTAGTTCCGGCTCTTTTTGGTGTGAACGCAACAAAAGAGTTCTCATGAACCTTTGTGGGAAAAGTACTGCGATGTGAATGTATGGGGGTTATTCCCTATCTTTATTCAAGAGCGTGGTATTTAAATTTGAGAGCATACTTTATGTATTTATTTCCCTCAAACCCTGTCCTCGCACTCAAATAGTGCCTGCATGCACTTAGATTTGCTCTGCTTGTGCTCAAACTGTACGCTTGCACTCAGATATATTGCTGCTTACAAATGTTTTCTGCTCTCAGATTTATTCTGTGCGCGCTCGAAACTTTTGTGCAACAATCCTGTCAAAATCCCTCAACCAATAGGAGGCCAGGTGTCCTTGCGGGTGCGTTCGCTTTACTTATTACAGCGTCCCGTAAGGGCGCATTTGGCTGTGCCCGGCGGTGGTCCAACAGTTCCCCCAAGGGCCCCAACCGATAGGGGACTCTATGGCGCTATTGAGACCCCCGACGCCAAGATCAAAAGCTATATTATAGCAACCGGTCCATGTAGGCCTACCGGCCCATTCAAGGAAACATCAAGGAAACAGGTGTAATCGCTTCTGAGTGGTTGTGTATGTCCGTGCGTGTGTGAGCGCATCAGTGTGCGCTTATGTTTGGGGGGGGGGGGGGGGGGGGTGTGCCCAAAACAATATTTGCACAGGGGCCAATCATAACCTTGTTACGGCACTGGATGCTATATTGTACATTAAGTATGGTGCGTCACTACTTTGTGACTTGTCTAATTTTTCTTATGATGAATCAATCATTGTCTCTTTCAGTCTTTTATTTTCATACAAAACATACAAAAAGCATGTTGAATGCCACGTTTTCTTATAAATTAAACTACCCAACAGTAAATAGGCTACTATCAGCACTAAAACTATTAGTCGATTTATCAATTAGTGGATTGACTGTAATTGATTTATCAGACACTATTTTGATCATTGTCAAGTCACTCTAAATGTAAATATGACAATCATTTTATGATCACTGTTTTTCAAATATAAGGATTTTCCAATTTTCCCTTTTTTATTATTTAAATGCATATATTTAATAATTTTGTGAGACACAATGGTTAAAATTACACTCACTGCAACAAACTTCACTTCTGCTTTTAGATAAATAAATGGATAATGATATGATAATTGTGTAATATGTAAAACAGTCACAAAGGCCATTTCCCCCATTGATTACTTTTAAAACGTTAAGCATATTTTCCTGATTATACTTAGAACCTAAATGCAGGACTTTCACTTCTATCTTCATCTGGCACCTCCTGAAATGGGAGGAGAAAATCTAAATTCCACCACCATGTCTCATTATTGCTCCTCATAGCAGAACACTTATCCTGTTCTCTGGCTCAAGTTAATTATGACTCACAAAGGACTCTCACAGCTGGAAGGATAAGTCTTTAGGACCAGAAATGAAACTGAAACTGTTCAACAGGGTTGCCAAGTTTGATCGTTTTACTTGTTTGTAACCTGAGTATTAAAGCTGTAATCTGTGGTTCCATGTGATGAAGTACCCTACATTAATAAAATGTAGTATTTTTGTCAGGATTCTCCTGTTATGTCACGTTTGTAGTTTTGTATGTCTGGTTATGGGTATTTTCCTCCTTGTATATTGTCTGGTCCTTCTTCCTGTGTTTTCCCCCTGTCGTTAGTTTCCCTGGTGTGTCTTATTGTCTGATTGTGTTCACCTCTCGCCCTTGTGTTTCTCCTCCACTGCCCGGCTGTTTCTCGTCTTGTGATTACCCCTCCCTGTATTTAGTCTTGTCTCGTCCTGTGTTCAGTGTTGGTTCGTCTTTTGTTTGTGAATGAGTTCACCGGTGAGAGTTCTGTTTTTTCCAAGTTATTTTTATTTATCCTTGAAATAAAGGCATTTTTCAGCGTTATCTGCATTTGGGTCCTGCTTGCTTCACTCACCGTAACAGTACGAACCAACCAAGGATGGGCCCAGCAGATCAATTTGAGCAGGAATTATTGGATTTTTCCTTTTCTCTGGCTTACTGCTCTGATCGATGGAGGGGAGCGTCCGGTAGTGATGGCGAGATGAAGCCTTATGAAGCTTTGAAGCTTTCCAGCCAATTGGTTCGCATAAGGGTTCATCTCATGAGGCTTCATCATGGGCTTCATTTGAACACAAACCCCCTGTTGGTCAAAGTGTGTAAAACAGGCAGATTGGACATCTCAACAGTGTGCTCTATCTCATACCGAGTTCCCAATGAGTAAAGCCTTAGAATAACAACGAACATTAAATCATATTTTCATTTCAACAATATTGTATTTATTCCAGTTTAATGATTGTGATTGAAAAGCCTAAAGAGTCTGGTAAACATTGCAAAGAGGGATTTGTATTCCTTAATAATATTCATAAACTTAACCATGTTGTAGCTTGAGAAAGGCTAAACCATATCAAATATTACATTTATTAACTACATTATCTCATTTAGCTGTAGCTTTTATAAACAATAAAAAATAAGTATTGTTCAGTCGTTGAACCAGGGACCCTGCGGTCGTGAGTCAACTGCTTTCCAGCTGAGCCACAGCACACTCACTGATTCTGACTGAAAACACTGGACCATATTTATTCCTGTATTTATTCATTTATTTATTCATGTTTTTGTTCCTACTTTTATTTATGCTTTTATTCATTTATACTTATGACATGTTCCAACCTCTATATAGGTGAGGGTCTGAGCTCTCTTAACTCCATCGTGTCACCGGGCCCGGGTACAGGAGGGGTAATATGGTTCTTATTATACATCCATGGGTAATATGAGCGTTGTGGTTCAACCAGGGTTCAACCGATCTGAATCGCTTCCTGAAGCAGTCACGTGGTATCGACAGGCAGCGAGGCTTCGTTTGTCATCGATGACGTCACTGGCCCAAAACGATACAAGCCTCGATACATGCTTCACAAAAAGCTTCGGGGATTACTCGACACACGCTCCGAAGCCTCGGCGCATTACGTAACATCACTAGCGTCCGGAGTTCAGTAGCGAGAGGCTGCTCTGGCTGAGGCGCACCAGAGGGCTATGGAGAAACCAGGTTTAGTTCAATTCTTACCTGGCTGGATTTTGGACTTCCTCTCGGTGTGTGATTCCTCCAAATGGCTCCTATGAGAAGGAGTCGCAAGTCCAGGCTAGCAGCCCTAGCCACAGAAGCCATGCTTTGGGCTCCAGTACAGGCCCCAGCAGCCATGGTTTTGACTCCAGCCCCTCGTCTCCGGCCGACGCCAGGTCCCCGTGTCCTGTCGGCGTACCGGCCGACGCCAGCTCCCCGTGCCCTGTCGGCATTCCGGCCGACTCCAGCCCCCCATGTTCTGTTGGCGAACCGACCGTCTCAAGTCTCCTCTCAAGTTCCTTCTCAAGTTCCTTCTCAAGTCCCCTCTCAAGCCACATCTCCAGCTCCCTCTCGAGTCCCCTCTCAAGTTCCCTCTCGAATCTCCTCTCAAGTCCCCCCTCGAGTCCCCTCTCAAGTCCCCCCTCGAGTCCCCCCTCAAGTCACCTCTCGAGTTCACCCTCAAGTCTCCTCTCGAGTTCCCTCTCAAGCCTCCTTTCGAGTCACCTCTCGAGTCCACTCAAGTCACCTCTCGAGTTCCCTCTCGAGTCCACTTTCAAGTCTCCTCTCGAGTGTCCTCTCGAGTCCCCTCTTGAGTCACCTCTCGAGTGTCCTCTCGAGTCCCCTCTCGAGTCACTCCTCCAGCTCCCTCTCGAGTGTCCTCTCGAGTCCCTCCTCTGGTCCCTCCTCTGGTCCCTCCTCTAGTCCCTCTAGTCCCTCCTCTAGTCCCTCCTCTAGTCTCTCCCCAAGTCCTTCCTCTAGTCCCTTCCCTAGTCCCTACTCAATGGGCTCAGTGGATAGTGTGCTGGACTTCAAATCAGGGGGTAGCAGATTCGAGTCCCACTGCAGTCAGCATGTCGTTGTGTCCCTGGGCAAGACACTTCACCCCAAATTGCTCCTGTGGGGACTGTCCATTAGACTTTCTTGAAATATGACATGTGGGGTTCCTCAAGGCTCCATCTTGGGGCCTCTTCTCTTTGACATCTACATGCTACCACTGGCTCAGATAATGAAAAACAACAAAATAAGTTACCATAGCTATGCGGATGACACACACATTTACGTAACAATTTCACCAGGAGACTATGCTCCAATTCAAACACTGAGTAAGTGCATTGAACACATCAATGACTGGATGTGTCAGAACTTTCTCCAATTAAACAAAGATAAAACTGAGGTAATGGTTTTTGGAGCCAAGGCAGAACGTATAAAAGTTAGCGCTGAGCTTCAGTCTGCAATGTTTAAAACAACAGATAAAGCCAGAAATCTAGGTGTAGTCATGGACTTTGTCAGGGACCAAGCAGTAAGGCAACAGGACACAGGAGTGGTTTAAATAAACTAGGGTTTTTATTTACCCCAAAAGTCCACAAGAACATCATATAATAACTAGGCCTATAAAAGAGGTCAACAGAAAATACCTCAAAGGCACATAACAGGTGTTAACTCAACAAAACTGACCCCCCTACAATGAAAAACCAAGGAACCTATATAGGGGCTTGGCCAAACCAAGTTGAACCCAAGGGATAATTAATAGTCACATCATACACAAAGGACACTGACAAAACCCAAATCTCCCCTTTGACATGGAAGCAGGTGGTTTGTCCCAATCTGTCCCAATTGGCTCCTTGCAGTATTTATGAGCCCTCAGCGCTCAGCCACGCCCTTTGCTGAACCAGGAAGTAACCTCCCCCAATGGACATGGTAACTCAAGAGACAAAGAATGTAATTAATACAAACAAATACTTTTGTATTAGCTGTGCTAAAATGTTTGAAGTAATGTCAGATTACAATCAAATAAAGAGTTTACCATCAAGAGCAAATGTGTGGTGTTAATTGGCATGTTTTATTGTAGCTGCACTGAAGCAAAAACTACTGAAGATGAGGATGCAGTGTAGTCACATTAAAACAGTTACTAAATCAGCCTACTATCACCTAAAGAATATATCTAGGATTAAAAGACTAATGTCACAGCAGGATTTGGAAAAACTTGTCCATGCTTTTATCTTCAGTAGACTGGACTACTGTAATGGTGTCTTTACAGGTCTCACTAAAAAATCTATTAGAAAGCTGCAGCTAATTCAGAACGCTGCTGCTCGAGTCCTCACTAACACTAAGAAAGTGGATCACATCACTCCTGTTCTGAAGTCTTTACACTGGCTTCCTGTGTGTCAAAGAATAGATTTCAAAATACTGCTGCTGGTTTATAAAGCTTTAAATGGTTTAGGCCCAAAATACATTTCTGACCTACTGCTAAATTATGAACCATCCATATCTCTCAGGTCTTCAGGGACTGGTCAGCTTTCTGTCCCCAGAGTCAGAACTAAACATGGTAAAGCAGCGTTTAGTTATCATGCTCCAAATATCTGGAACAAACTCCCAGAAACCTGCAGCTCCGCTGCAAATCTGACTACTTTTAAATCCAGACTAAAGACTTTTCTTCTCTGCACTGTAACTTTTATCCATGTATTTTTTCTTTTAATGTTTATTTTATTATCTTTTCTTTTTAATGACTGATTTGAAATGCCATTTTCTTAATGTCTTTCATTTTTTGTAAAGCACTTTGAATTGCCTTGTGTTGAAAGGTGCTATATAAATAGCCTTGCCTTGCCTTGCTATCTCATTAATTAGACTAACTTATATCTAATTATTATGACTTAGTATTTCATTATCATGACTTACTATATCATTATTTGGACTTACTATAACATTATTTAGACTTAATTTCATTATTATGACTTACTATTTCCTTATTATGACTGACTATATCATTATTTAGACTTACCATCTCATTGTATAGATTTACTATTTAATTAATTAGGCTTTCTATCTCATTTATTAGACTTTCTATATCATTATTTAGACTTACTATCTCATTATTTCGAACTAATATTTAAAGAGATTGAACTGAACTGCGAACTTTAGGCACATCGATGAGGGGGATATTTCGAACAATACCTGGCAACCCACTACTACAGAGACGGGCGGGCGGGGCGACAGAGGAGAGAGGAAGTAGCTTTGAGCAACGGTTGTGAACTAACGTGTATTAACACCTTAAAACCTGCCTAAACATGAATAAACATTTACTTTAAACAAATAACGACTTTATTAGCAGTGAGTCTGGAGACATGTACGAGGATGACAGGCTGCTCTGTGTACTTTGTCAGCGGTCCGAACAGACGAAGATCACAGGAGCGTTATCCTCCAAAGATGACGTCACGGCCCACCAGAACTGTTTGGTAAATATTCAAAAATAGTTATGCTTTAATTGTAAATGGTAGCTAGAGAGGTAAAAGTGGTAAGCTATGTTATGGGTTTAATAAATGGCCTTTATGGAGATGCTAACAGGAGAAACAGGCAGGAAGCAGAGGTGGGAGAAGTACTCAGATCTTGTATTTGAGTAAAAGTACAAGTACCAGAGTGTAGGAATTCTGTGTTACAAGTAAAAATCCTGCAATCAAAATGTTACTCAAGTAAACGTACAAAACTATAGGTTACTTACGTAACCCCAGTTCTCAGAGTAACATGAAGTGAGATGTCTCACTATGGGATGCGCCTCATCGCGGAGCAAACAGAAGCATCAATCTCATTACGCCAATCCTGATTGGCTGGAGATCTTAACGTCAGCGTCAGGGAAATCACCCCCTATAAGTAGCTTGCGCCACAACGCATGCGTCATTCAAAATAAGCACCTCTTCTCACTTCACCATAGCAAGGAGGGCCGTCTGGTGAGACATCTCACTTCATGTTACTCTGAGAACTGGGGTTACGTAAGTAACCTATAGTTCTCATTCATAACACTCCGTTCGATGTCTCACTATGGGCAATTGTAGCTCCCGTATTGCCAGACGAGCTTATCTCGAAAATCACCAAACCAACCAGAACTTAACAGGTAGAGCTCTGACTCAACCAGGTGCCCAGCACTGCTTGAGTCACACTGGGAGCAGAACGTCCAGCCTGTTAGGAGGCAGACAAAAGTGAGCGGCGAGGACCAGCTCGCCGCTGCACCAATGTATTTGATGGGAGACATCCTGGACAGAGTCCAGAATGCAGCCAGACTCTGAGTCGAAAGAGCTCGCGGACCCGAGGGTGCCTGCGAACTCTGACTCGTATGAGCCCCAAAGCAATTGCTTCCACAGACCAGTGGGAGAGCCGTTGCTTAGTAACAGGCTTGCCCTTATAAGGGTTAGCCCAGGACACAAGGGGTTGGTCATTATGACAAAGCACCCTTGATCTGTCCCTGTACGTGCGTGAAGCACGGGCTGGACACGGCAAATCCGGCCGCTGTTCCCCGGAGGAATACAGTGGTGGGGAGGATGCCTTAATGTCAAATGTGGTACCCGAACCGACCGCCTTAAGATAAAGGCAGGGTCAGGCTTCAACCACACTCTGTTTGCCCTGGGGCAAACTGAGTGCATGAAAACTGTACAGATAGTGCATGAGTGCCACTGGCTCGCTTGGCAGCTGCCAGGGTCAGCGTCATGTCACACTGTATTTAGATTGTACCACTCACGGGCCAGGCCCATAGAGCCAAGCGCTCTGGGTGTGGGTGAAAGATCGCCCCCCCCGCTTGGGACAGTATGTCCCTGCGTAGTGGGAGCTGCCATGGCTGCCCGCACAGCAGCTGATATATCTCCGCTAGCCAGTACATAGCTGGCCAGTGCGGAGCTATCAGGATAAGTGTGTGGCGTTGCTCCCTCACTCTGGCCAGAGTTGGGGGTATCAGAGCCAGGGGTGGGAACGCGTACAGAAGGCCCGGGGGGCAATTGTGCGCGAGTGCATCCACGCCTAACGGTGCATTTAGATCGCGCATCGAAAAGAACAGCTGACACTGAGCGTTGTCTTTTGATGCGAACAGATCCACCGCGGCTCTGCCGTAACGCACCCACAGCTGGCTCACAATCCTTGGATGTAGAGTCCAGTCTGCATAAACTGGTATACCTCTGGACAGTAGATCTCCCCCGAGGTTCCTCACTCCCGGTACGTGCGTCGCTCTCAGAGAGAGGAGACGTCTAACGCTCCATAGGATCAGTTTGCGCGCCAGTGTGTGTAACTGGAGAGAACGCAAACCCCCTTGGCGGTTAATATACGATATTGTGGTCGTATTGTCTGTCCTCACGAGGACGTGATGTCCCCTGAGGAAAGGCAGAAAGCGTTTTAGGGTGAGAAACACCGCTAAAATCTCCAGGTAATTTATGTGCGCCCGCTGGAGGTCTCTGCTCCAGAGACCCCTCACCGGCCGACCTTCATAAATACCTCCCCAACCTGTCAGACATGCGTCCGTGGTGACCACTTTCCGTGAAAGGACAGCACCCATAGGCACACCTCGTACTAGAAAAGTCGGGTGCAGCCAGTGGCGCAGTGCCATTACGCATTTCACAGTAACCATCACTCTCCGCGCGCCATGGCGCGCGGAGAGTGATGGTTTCACTCTATCCGCTGACAAGCGAGCTGAAAAGGGCACCGAGTTCAGGCGTAAACCCAGGAAGAGTATAGTCTGCGCGGGGCACAACATGCTCTTCTCTGTGTTTATTATGAAACCCAGGTTGAGCAGGTGCTTTACGAGGACATTTGTCTGCGTAACAGCCTCCTGCTCCGACTGTGCGAGAAGCAGCCAGTCGTCCAGGTAGGTCGCCAGGCGAATACCCTGTTGTCTTAACGGGGCTATCGCGGCTTCCGTACATCGTACAAACACCCTTGGACTGAGAGACAGACCGAAGGGGAGTACTCTGTATTCATAACAGATCCCCTGAAATGCGAATCTCAGATATTTCCTGTGTGGGTAATATACTGGGATGTGAAAATACGCATCTTTCAGGTCGACTGATGTGAACCAGTCGTCTTGTCGCACGAGCCGCAGCAGAGATGTGTGAGTGAGCATTCTGAACTTATATCTTCTTAGATATTTATTCAGAGCCCTCAAATCAAGTATTGGCCGAATTCCGTTCCCTTCCCGTTTGGGAACGAGGAAGTACTTGGAATAGAAGCCGCCCTGACTCTGCTCGGCGGGTACAATAGATATAGCCCTCTTTTCTAGGAGAGAGAGAATCTCTCTCTCCAGAATATGGGCTGACTCTCCTCGGGCCTGCGAATGCAGAATGCCCGAGAAGCGAGGGGGGGTGACAGCGAATTGGAGTCTGTAGCCCCGTGTTACTGTCTTGAAAACCCAAGCAGATGATGTGAGCATCTTCCACTGCATGCTCCTTAGAGCCAGTGGAGATGTCACATCTCTTCCCCTCTGAGTCTCTATTTGTTGTGTTATGGGGCCCTCTAGTGTCTGAACACAGTGGTGCCCCCTTTCGACAATCCCCACCGACACTGCGCATGCGCATGACGGTGGTGCCTTCACAACCCCAGCCGGCACTGCGCATGCGCGTGGCGGTGGTGCTTTTAAAACCCCAGCCGGCACTGCGCATGCGCGTGACGGTGGTGCCTTCACAGACCCGCCTGTAATCCGCCTTTTGAGAGATGCCGAAGCTGCTCTCAGAAGGGGAACAGTTGACGGGCTGTTTATTGGTTTTATTGTTTTTCTTATCATTTTTTTTAGCTGCGCCCTCGGCCTGAAGCCTGGATGCGTCAGCGGCAAATGTTTTATGACAGAGGAACAAACAGATTTGTGACATGTGTTTTTGCGGACTTGAGGATGGTGTTGAGGCATCTCTCGAGGCGGCGGGAACACATTTAGAGCTGGGGAACCGTGGACTTCCAGCTCTGTCACGGAGGGGAGAAGGAGGGGCTGTCACGCCGCTCGCTTCTTCTTCCTCGCCTGCTGGCCGAAATTCTGGTTTGGCTGCGCCTGAGCTGCAGCCGGAACCGGAGATTTTCTGGGCCAGCTCGCCCTCGTCTCCAGCCTGGGCTGGGGACTCGGGGCGGGCTGCGACCTCTGCGTTCTCGGTGTTTTAAACCGAGCAGGGTTCAAGGCAGCTTGGGCGAAGGACTGCTGCTGCGAAGGCAGCGGCTGGACCCTTCGAGGGAGGCAGAGGTGGAGTGCCTCGTCCTCCCTCTTTTTCGACTCACACCTCTTTTGCATGGAAGCAAGAGCGGAGCCGAAAATTCCCTCAGGAACGATGGGCATATCCAGCACATCCTCCTTTTCCCGGTCTGGGAGGTTGGTGAGGTTGAGTCATCTCACTCTTTCCTGCACCACCATGATCCCCATTGCCTTACCTGTGGCCTGGACGGCGCAGCGTTGGACACGGAGACAGATGTCTGTGACCGCTGCCATCTCGTCCAGAGTGGCTGCCCCCGGGTTACCCGACAGGTCCTCGCAGAGCTCCGCTTGGTAAGCGGTTAGCAGCGAGGCCACATTCAGGGCCCTGGCGGACAACGCTGCGGCTTTGTAGGACCGTTCAGTCATTGTCGACTGAAATCGACACCTCATCCAACATCTCCGGGAAGACCGGAAGGAGTTGCCTCTTTGTCCGCGCTGCTTGGGGAAAATGTTTCCCTTCGTAGCGGGACCTGGAGGTCTCCTTGGCCATTTTAGGCCACGGGATGTCGAGTCTGGCCGCAGCGCGTTTGCACACGGCCTGCAGGTCCATACTCAGACAGGGCGAAGCTGGTGTGCTATCGTCTGGGAGAGCAGCCCTCGCTCCAGGCTTTGCAGCCTGAGCCGATGACATGAAGATGTCCTCTTCATGTTCATCCGACTCGGACAGGAGGAACACCGAGGCGTCCTCTTCGTCCTCGTCGTAGTGAAGCTCGAGGACATCCTCCGCGGGTGAGACCATGGTGAGGTCTAACCGGGAGCCCCAGCTCGGTAAAGCGTGGGGTCCCGTTCCCGCGTGTCTTGCCGCCACCGGGTCCCGGCCTGCCAGGGCGCGGGAATCCGGTTCTGCGGCCATCTCAGATACTGAGCCCCAGACCGACATGGAGAGGGGTTCACTCTCTGTGGCAGATGTCCCCGCGTCTTGACTGCCGGCCGGCAGGTCAGAGGACATGGGGGGTTCCTGCTCCGACAGGCTAGCTTGGCGTGCTAGCCGTCGGCGGAGGCTCTTTACGGTGAAGCGTACACAATGTCCGCACGAGCCGGGGTTGTCGATAGCGCCTCGGGCGTGTTCCAGCCCGAGGCAGGACGAGCAGACCTGGTGTGTGTCTGTGCCCGAGATCTTCAACCCGCAGCCGCAGAGTCGAGCCACCGAGTCCCTGACTCCTCTGGTGTGAGGGAGAGGGGCGTCCATCTTGTTCGCCTCGTGGCGTGGAGAGGACCCGCTCTCAACAGGTAGGTTGGGAGAAAAAG